GTGTGTGTGGGGAGCTTATCGGGAGCTGGAATGAGAGCACAACAGTCCCGGTTGTTTTCGCCTGCGGATGAGCTTGATGTGGCCTCCATCTAGTGAGCGTGTGTGTATGCGTATACGGAACACCCTGTTACTGCGTTTGCTACGCTTCTTGACGGAATTCCTGCACGTCAAGCGCGAAAAAAATACAAACCATCAACAGCCAAACGCTTAAGATTAAAAACAAATGTTGACCGTTTCTAACGAGCCGGCGCAACGGAAAAGAAGAGAGAGAAAGATAGGAAAAGAAAAAGGCCTCTCCCCCACACACCCACATCAGTCTGACACAGTTACGTGACTGCGAGAGAGAAAGACAGAGCTGCGCTTGCGCCTCGCTCTTAATTATACGGTATTCACAGAGTTTAAGGGTATAATAAGCCATTGTTAATATGAAATGTTAAAAAATTTTCTTTTTTAAAAAATCTTTAATTTTAATTAAATGTTGATAGAACATATCTTTAAAAAGTAATAAAATTATCAATTCGAATTAAACAAGAATACCAATCTTTTTTTAATATAAATATATTAATAAATGCATAGGTGCAATGCATTTAGGACTATGATGCGGTCATTTTGAAAATCGTATAGTTAAAATATTCTTAAGTATCCAAAATTTTTCCCTACGCATTAAAATGGACAACTTACAAATGGTATAGTTTTGTTTAATAAAAACCTTTTTTCTTTGTTCTTGTTAAATTTTCCAATTAATTCTTCAAAAGACACTGGGTATTTTATTGTCTGTTCAACTAAATACACTGTTTCATTACATTTTTATTTAAGATTTCCGTTTTACAATTTTAAATTGTCTTTTTACGAGATCTGACATTTGACATGGCAATGGGAAGTAATTTTAATAGGCTGGTCGGTTCATTGGTTTGTTTGTTTGATTTTCTCCCGTTTCCAATTCCCATTCCACTCCCCACTCCGCCTCCCGCATCGTGTCAATCTCACGCCGATAAGGGCGCGTTTTTCCGGTTTGTTTTTCTTTGCCTTATGATTGCTCTTATATTTATTTCTTACTTGTTTACAATGCAAATAAATTAAGATCGTGCGGGCAACGATCGAGAAGTTCTATCAGCTTTATGCAACACTTGTGGGAACGCAATATTGGGGCGTTGATAAAAACGCTGGGTTCATAAATTATTTGGCGCGGCTAAAGCCAAACAAACACTTGTTAAAATAGACTCACACACAAATATTTGCTTTGGAGGCCATGGCTTAATGCATTCTGTCCTTGAGTTCATTTAATTTTTAATATTTTTTATTACTTGCTTGAAAGTCCAATAATTTTAAGTTTTCCTAAATTTTTTATTAGACTTATTTAGTGCTTTAGCTTACTAAAGTAATTACAAAGTGTTTACATACGTAAAACAAGCCAGTCTGAACCACATTTAATTTTAGAATATCTAAAAAAAGTTGTATATTTCATTTACATTTTACCATTAAAAGATTATGTTCTATATAGAAAAGTAAGACTGTACTTAGTCTGGTATTGTTGAAGCGATAGCTGAAGTGGACATAGTCTGGAGATCTGCGCGTGTGGTCCTATATCCTGCTGCCCGATCGGAAGTGGTTCTCCTCCACATCCGTTTCATCTACATTTCTCTCCATTTCGATCCCATAGCGGTACAATTTAATTCACCATCTATTACTTGCTCACTCACAATCTTTGTTTCTCTCGATTTCTTATTCCTTCAGTCCCTTTTTTGATTTCCGTTACGCTTGCGCGTGAAGCGTGCACAACATCCGCTCTTTACTTCCCTTTTCTCCTCCGCAAATATTTCGTTGTGCATTTTACAGTTAAAACATTTCAATTGTCTCGACATCCTGGGAATCGCAGCTATTAACAGGTGATCCCGCTATCTGGCAATCATTTGTGAAGGTGTGAAAATATATTCCGAGATATTCAGAGAGTTTTGAGGGTGGATTTTAAGCCATTGTTCGTTTGTTCATCCTCCAAGTGTGGGAAGTATGTACATTAATAATTTAATTGAGTTGTAGCATAAATGGAATTCATGAAATACGAATTTTGTTAGAAAAAAGTTAAGTGGGGAATGATGAAAAAATTAACTTGTTTTAAATAACATTTTTAACATAATTCATATCATATTATTTTTTAAAATAAAAATTGTAATCGGAGTATTTGCATATTATATATATGTACATACAAGTATATAAGGAAGAGTTTATAGGGTCAAAAATGTGTTTTTCACTGCGTCGCAAACTAAAATTGTATACCGACGGCAAGGGTATAACAAAATTAGTATAGTATTTCAGGACAACACTTAATTTTTTTTTATCTTAAGGACAATTTACTTTGTATAAATTTTCATTTTCAATTACTTTCTTCGACTGGATGAGCTGTACTTAGACAAAACTGCGTTTTGTTATCGCGATTGTGACGCCAAAATAACAGGGCATAAAAACTTTAAAATTTACTGATAGTTAATGCTTTCTTTATCTCTTATTCTATTTCGTAATTAATTTATTGTTGAAACAAAGATCTTAAAGGAAGATTGCAACCATTAAACTAATTCGTTCGGCTACAAATAACATCGAAAAGCAATGCCCAGGCACTTATAGATGCAAGAAAAACCTATTTGTGACTGCTATAAACTCATTATATTATTTTAAATACTTCTTTAAATATAAAAAAAAAATTTTTTTTTCGTGAAGGGTGACTTTTTTCTGGAAATGCTTATTTATGTAAATATTTGTGCCATGTAATAAATAGATTAATATGTTTTTAAAATGATACCAGAATAATAATTTCGCTTTGAATGACACAGTTAAGAATATGTTTTCAAGATCCCCCTCCAATCATACAGATTTCGGAGCACAATTTGACGTTTTTTTTTTTTGGACAGCCATTTATCCCACAATCTGTCAGGGCACTTGACACATGGTCTCAAGAACACTAACCGCACAATTATGCCTCATAAACGCTCCCAACAATGCAAAGCAACAAAGGACAAAAGGAAAAAATCAAAACTGAAAGGGCTATTTCGGGTATAATTTCATGTAATTGGGGACAGTTGGCAAAGAGCAGATTTGTGGTCTGCCGCTCTGACCCTGGGAACAGATTTCATTGGGCATTGACAGTTGCCCCAGTCGGTTATGCAAACTCAATTTGGGTCACCCAGAGTTCCTGGGGACGCCAGAGGGGGTGGCGGATGGCGTCTGTTCATAACGTGGCAGTTCGTCAAGTGACCTGAATGTATGTTAGGTGGAAGCGTTGCTGCTGCGGTGGAAGGCAGAGGTGGCTAAAAGGGGGCATACAAAAAAATGAAAAATGTATCCTTTCTGGTGGCTTAGTTCTATGACTAAAATTAAAAATGTTTCGCATACGATTTTGTGTTTGACACAACAAGATATATACTCTTTCATGTAATAAACAATTAATTCTTTATTTACCTGTTAAAAATTATATATTTTATATGCAATGATTCATACTTCCTTACCTTGTAAAGTTTTTATCAGAATTTAAAATGTGTCAGCAACTTTGCTTGCATGTTAGAAACTATATTCACGATAACACTTTGGGCTTACTGATAAAGGCGTAAAAACTATATTTTTAAACTTCTCCAATAGCAAGCTAAAACGTTCTATGATAAGTGCCAAGAAGGTTTTTAATATTGAGAACTAAATAAAATTTGAAAGACAAAAATATACGAAATATATATTTTTGTTTTTGCTTTAGGTCTAAAAAGAAGATCGAGGCAAGTTGTTTAGAAAATTTGGATTAAATTATGAATAGAACCTGCAAAAGCATGGTCTTTTAAAAGTTGATAACCTTGGCTTATTCATTGATGGAGATCCCTCTCGTGGACGCCACTGTTGCTGCTGGACGGCCTTTTGTGATGCATCTTGGCTTGTGCCACCCTTTTCTTTTTTGTGTGCCAGCCTGGACCATTGAATGTCTCTGCATGCTGAGTGCTGCTCATCCGCCATGCATATGGGATGGTTTGTTGGAGACCCCTTCCCATCAGAATCCATTCAATCCGAGACTCTGCTCATAATTGATGTTCAAATAGCTGGTGAATGATGCAAGCGGTGCTGAGGAAGAGGCACTTGCCACAGATTTGTGTTGTGCTGGTCTCGATTGTGACACGTTGGGCCAGGGGCTTTATTATTATTATTCTTATTGTGAATCGGACAGATGATGGTTTTGTGTAGCCCCATCAAATTGATTTAAATAAGCTGAATTAGACAGGCGGAAGTGAGAGGAGTGAGAGGTGTTTCTTAGAGTTTCGGAACGTAGCACACGTGCCAGGAAGTTATCATCTGCCGAGGTGCAGGGAAATACGTTACTTTCGGTAATTTCCCGACTCAACAATGCGCAGCCAACGAATTTATTGAGCCACGCGGCAAAGGAGCAAAGGATCCCGCACAATAGAGGGACCCCTCTTCGCAGCCAGGACCCTCAATGAGGCCTGCAATGAGTTCTGTCTTCGGGGGTTGCAGTTGCACATTGGGCTGCAACATCGTCCTGTTTGGGTAATTGTTATCTGTGATCCCGAAATGATCGTTACTTTGAGCCATGGGCCCGGTGTTCTTTTCCTGGCACGCGCCAAAGTCTCCCCCACTTCGTTCTACTTCCAACAGCTGGTCTTCCTTTTTTACGGAGTCCTGCAGGACATTTTAGTAATTGAAATGGCAGCCCAGATTCTTTTTTTAGCTGATCCCTTGAAACTGTGAGAAAGGTCGCACTGGTAGGTCTCAAATCTGTCAGAATCTGTCACTATGTTTTTGGAAATATGCGAAATTTTCGTTTTAAATCCAAAATGTATGTAGGGGCTCTGTAGTGTTGTTTTAAACTAGTTTCTAGTTTTGACGTATGTTAACCGGTAAAAATTCGATTTCCAAGGATTACATAAGTGGGACTTAATCTTAAGCATGAGAACAGAGTGTAAAAACAAACAGTTTAAATCATTTTTTTAGTTCACCTGTTATTCATTTTTCTTGGAACCGACAATTCTTCAGTTTATAATTGGGATATTTTGACCTTAACTATTTCCAGTGTGTTGACTTCATTGTTATGTTTATTAAGTTTCATGTAGCAATAAAAAAGGAAATTAATTTTGTCGAATTGTAGCTACAATCCAAGGTGTATGGTAATTAACATCCGTGTATATTCCATAGCTTGTGTCGCCATGTCCTGAGCTGAATATTCCGAATTGAACGATCATAGGGCTTTCATCAAAAAGAACCTGTCCTCCCAAAGGAGTTCCGGGGTCAGCGGTAAGTGCAAAAATAGCGGGCTTTTGGCAGCAAAATCGTTCTTCTTGTTTGCGACACCAATATTCGTTCATTCCTGGGTCAACCCTGTTGACAAGGACCTGTCGAACAGTTTGTTGGGTATCACCTTTAGTTTGACTCCATCCAGTTAAGATAAAGCTCGGGATAGCTTTGATCGTTGTCCTCAAGTCAGGGTTTAAAAGAATGCAGATCGGCCTGATTTTAGCTGAAGTAGAGAAAGCGTACTTAACATGACACCACAAGATAAGGAGGTTACGGTAGTTAAAACGAGGACGGAAGCTAACTTCGGCAAGCCGAAGTTTTAATACCCTTGCAGACTTTGACGAAATTGCTAAAAGTGAAAAAGTAGCGAAAGGAATAAGGTATACATAAGTAAACTAGATTTGCATCGTTTCAAGTCAATTGCTTTTATACTGCAAAAATGTCATATACAAATAGAAAAAAAGGGATACTTTCGCAGCCTTTAACAATTTTTCCTATCTCCTTTAAGATATAGACTTCCGAGCGGCAAGCGCTTTTACCCTAATCAATTTATGCGTAAATAAATAAGAATTGGAAAATTTTATGTTAGTAGCTTACACACTGCGCGAAATATTCTGATAATCATCAAATTTGGACCGATTTCACCCTATTGTTCCTATGGGAGCTATAGGATATAGACGTCCGATCGGCACGCGCTTTCACCTTGACCAATGTATGCATAAACGAGGACGGAAGCTAACTTCGGCAAGCCGAAGTTTTAATACCCTTGCAGACTTTGACGAAATTGCTAAAAGTGAAAAAGTAGCGAAAGGAATAAGGTATACATAAGTAAACTAGATTTGCATCGTTTCAAGTCAATTGCTTTTATACTGCAAAAATGTCATATACAAAAGGGATACTTTCGCAGAATTTAACAATTTTTCCTATCTCCTTTAAGATATAGACTTCCGAGCGGCAAGCGCTTTTACCCTAATCAAGATATGCGTAAATAAATAAGAATTGGAAAATTTTATGTTAGTAGCTTACACACTGCGCGAAATATCCTAAAAATCATTAAATTTGGACCGATTATCTCCTTTAAGATATAGACGTCCGATCGGCAAGCGCTTTTACCCTGATCAAGGTATGCGTAAATAAATAAGACTTGGAAAAATGTATGTCAATAGCTTATACACTGCGCGAAATATTCTAAAAAACATGAAATTTTGACCGATTTCACCGTATTGTTCCTATGGGAGCTATAGGATATAGACGTCCGATCAGCACGCGCTTTTACCTTGATGAAGGAATGCATAAAAAAATACGATTTGAAAAAATGTACAGCAATAGCTTTTACACATCGCGAAATATTCTGAAAAACATCAAATTTGGACCGATTTTACCCTATTGTTCCTATGGGAGCTATAGGATATAGACGTCCGATCGTCACGCGCTTTTACCCTGATCAAGGTACGCATAAAAAAATAAGATTTGGAAAGATTTATGTCAATAGCTTTTACACTGCGCGAAATATCTTCCATTCTTGCAAGTTATATCCGATTGTTCCTATGGGAGCTATAGGATATAGACATCCGATCGGGGCGGTTTTCAAACTTGATCTGCGTACACTTGTTTTAGGACGACTGTGAAAGTTTCAGATCGCTAGCTTTTAAACTGAGCTCGCAAACGGTATTGAAACAGACGGACAGACGGACAGACGGACGGACGGACAGACGGACAGACGGACATGGCTATATCGACTCCCCTATTGATCCTGATCAAGAATATATATACTTTATAGGGTCGGAAACGTCTCCTTCACTGCGTTACAAACTTCTGACCAAAATTATAATACCCTCTGCAAGGGTATAAAAGTACGTACCTCGACCTTCTAAAGATCGATTCAGTTTAAGTAAAGCAATATCGTCGGACATTATAGTTTCGTATCTTTGATGACGAAAAACACTCATGACTAGGAAGTCTTCTGTTCCATTTGATTGATAATGTCCCAATCTGACATATCTGTAAAAATAAATCAATCATTTTAATTTACAGATATTTCTATCTATATAGCGGTTAGAATTTATTACTTACAAGTTTTTTGTTATGTCTGCACAATGACCCGACGTAAGAACAAAGTCTGAAATAGTATTTGAAAATAGAATTTTTTAGTACTATTATTTTTAATTTCATTTATTTAAAGCATTTATTCTGTCAATTAAATAGTTTCGATATTGAAATTAGGAATTCAAAGTAAATTTAAATTATTGTATACAAACGAATAATAGTTCAATTTAATTGAATACTTAAACTAAAAACAAATACGAACTATAAGTAATGAGTGATCCTGAGCATGCGTATGCCCCTTGGCGAACTAAGTATGCCATCCATGGGGCTGGATCAACTTCTTGTCTATCGTTAGGCGGTAGGCATCCTGGTTCCAGCAACTGAGCCGATCTCTGAGTCCCTAGGACTAAGACTGCCGAAAAAAGCACTAGAAATGTTGCGAGCATCATCTTAAGTGAAAGCCGGGAATCAAACTGTTCAAATTTTACTTTGCAATTTAAACATAGCTGATAAGCAGTACAATTGGTGATAAGCCAAGCCAAGATTTAGAAAGTTTGCCCACAACAAATGTATATTTACAGTAGAATCCGGTTATAACGACTCCGTTTATAGCGTCCGTCCGGTTATTGGGACGAAAACTCGATGGCTTGGTTGACTCCATACAAACTTATATGATACAAACTTATATGGATAGTGCGTCTTCCGGGTATAACGACGTAAAACCGTCGGTCCCTTGAGAGTCGCTATAACCGGATTCTACTGTTTATATGTATATAAAATGATCTTAGACCCCTCGATCTGATTCATTCTTCAAAATGAAGTATTTCTTAGAATGAAATCCAATGAATCTTCCACAAAAAAAACAAGATAGAACGCTATAGTCAGGTGCCCGACTATCAGATACCCGTTACTCAGCTAAAGGGAGTGCGAGGGAGATGGAGATAGAAACTTTGATCACGCATAACTTTTTAACGAATGGTCCGATTTGAAAAATTTCTTCTACATTTCGATAGGTATTGATAAACACAATAAAACTGCATTTTTACTTTTCCGAAATATTTAAATTTTTAAAATCGTATATAAGCGATTGTGGGCGTTAAAGGGGCGAGGCACCATTTTGAAACAAACTTGCGCTGCGTAGGAACTTCAAAATCTACATGCAAAATGCCAATCTTCTAGCTTTTATAGTTTCCGAGATCTCAGCGTTCATACGGACAGACAGACAGACAGACAGACAGACAGACAGACAGACAACGGACAGACAGACGGACAGACGGACAGACGGACATGGCTAAATCGACTCGGCTAGTGATCCTGATCAAGAATATATAACTTTATAGGGTCGGAAACGCTTCCTTCTAGCTGTTACATACTTTTGCACGAATACAATATACCCTTTTACTCTACGAGTAACGGGTATAAAAAAACAATTTAAATATTTATTTACTCTGCCAGAGTGTTATATTGAGCTTGTAAATACAAGACTTGTTGTATATGTAAAAAGAATGGAATCAAAATTTGCATATTTTTAAAATACATTCTGTTTTTATTCCTCTACTTAAATACAAATATCAATAAATATAAATAGTTTCTTATAAAATAATAAATATTTATATATATATACTTTATAAGGTCGCATATGCCCTCTGCTCTGCATTGCCAACTTTTGACAGAACTTATGAAATAATTATATATTTAATTTTTATAGAGTATTTGATGCGGTCAAGCAATTATGAGATTATGATCAAAACAGTATTCTTAACAAAATCCACCAAAACTCATTCCTTTAAAACTACTCATCCTCAATAACTCTGCCCGAAATTCACTCAAGACTCAACTCAAAAACCTAAAAGTTTTGACTCAAAACCGAACTCAGCTCAGATCCTTGCTAAGGATACGGGGCGTGAAATGTCTCAGCCTCGGAATTCCGACGAACTCAGCAGCAGAGCAAAGTTCTCTAACCATTTTCATGGTTGCCAGCCAATTATCAATTCGGGGTTTTCTGAGCCCGGGGTTTTGGCCGAAAACCGAGCATCGCTGACCACAGCAAGTGTCGCCGATTTGGCCAAAGGACACTCCCCGGAAGAGAATGATGAGAAGGAGGATGAGGAGGAGGAGGAGGAGGAGGAAATCGGGATCCTTGGCCACTCATAAACACATTATGCATGCCACCTTGGGGGTGCTCGGTTCACAATTTTGCAGTTTTTGCTGTGAATGTGCAAAAGTGTCTATAAAACCATAACGCGTTTTCCTGGAAAAGCGGGGAAAATCAGGTAACGCCCTCGACTGACTCTGGCTGTGCCTGTGTTGTGACAATCTCCTTTTCTTTGAGAGATTTCTGTAGGTGAACCATAAAGCGATTATGATTGGGAAATATGGTTTTTTTCGACCGTTTGGCCGAAAAGTAAAAACTAATTAGGGTTTTTGTTAGAATAACTTCGTTCTACATAAATAAACCATTAATTTAACATATCGCTCAGCCAGAACGAATCGAAGCGAAGCCAGTTTGCCTGAGGTCAGATACGGAAGGGATCGCCTGGATCGCATGGCAACTCGTGACCAGGTGTGCGCCAAGTCGTGTGACGACATCGCATCGCACAACCAATATATATCCGCGCAGACCTTTTTATGCATATATCCCACTGACGTAAGTGCACCCCTCCCCGTCTGGAAATCTACTTAAAAAACGAGCAAAAGTTTGCTGCGCATGCGCAGCTCAAAGTCTCCACCCCTTGGTTTCTTGGTTTTGTTTTGAGAAATCTTTTGCGAAATGTACAATCAGGGGGTTGGTTCGAAAACGGAAAAGGGGGTTCGGGGTAGGAGCTGGAGGTCGCCGGGGGTCGCTGATGCGCAACGACCTTTCCCTGTTCCGGGGGTTTTCTTTGCTTTTGCAGCTGTTGTTTTTGCCTGAGCGAAAGATTTTCCACAAGACACCCCGAAATAAAAAAACAGTCTTGGTTGTGTGCAACGCGTGTGAAAGTTCTGTAGTTCCTTAGTTCCGTATTCCGGCCACGCTTCAGCCATTTTGTTGGATATTCCCTGGCTTTTCGGGTAGCAGATTCCCGATCTAGCCGCGGCGCAGAAGGAACTCGTCCTTGGGTGGGGGGAATGTGGCATAAGCGTGTGCTAAGGGATCTAGGGGAGAAAACCGAACTGGCTCTCACAGCCTGTGCCAACAAAAGAAGTTTGCCAAAGAAATTACAGTTCCTGCGAAGCGAGCTAAATGTCGTAAATTGTGGATTTATTCAGAAACAGTAGGCATCACAAAAAGTACTACATATTTTGGCATAAACTCACATTGAGAGGGAAACCTGATTGGGCACAAAGGGGGATCTTCGATGGCTTTGTTCATACCAATTGTGATCCTTGAGGGGATTTAAAGAAATATTTAAGTATGAAATATATTATTGTACATAAATCATAACCTAAAAGTATTTAGAGAATATAATTTGTAAAAACGCCATTAAACAGCCCACTAAATCTGTTTTTTAATTTGATTAATACGTGAAAAATATAGTTTACCAAAGAGACGTGAAAACTATTGTAAAAGTTAGGTGTTTGAAGAACTACCTTATTATTTATTACTTGCTTAGCTGTTTTTTTATAATTTGTTCACGGAATGTGTTTTTTGAAATAATTTTTTTCTGCTCCAATTATTTCTTTATTTTTAAATTTCGGAGTTTTGAAATAAAATTGCAGATATGTAAAATACAATATTATTAGCTATACTAATATGTAAGTCCATTTTTTCTTATGCTCGTTTCTGTCAATTCTTTTTTCCTCTAATACACAAAAATACAAGTTATTTTCGGTCAATGATTTTTTAAAATAATCGAGCTCCATAAAATTACAGTCTGCACATCCCGACAGACCTTGAGCTGTCCCAGTTCTTGGTTTTCATCATTAATGTCTCTGAGCACTTACGGCTTAATGGTCGGCCAAGTCAATGTAAACAAATTCAGCGACCTTGATGGGAGCGCTAATGGCTTTATAGTGCACTCCCACTCCCACTATGTGTGTATAATGTGCGATGCAGTGTCCTCGACACAAGGTCACATTTTATGATTTGGCAATTTCCAGCGAGGGAGTTCCGTGTAAGGGCTCGAAAGGATGCGATGCGATGCGCAAAGTTGACGGCAGAACTGCTTGCGAGGAAGGACTGCGACTCAAAAGGATGCAAGAAAGGATAACTTTATGGGCCGCTCGTAAAGACCGTTTGAGCATTGGACAATATGAGCAATGGGTGATTATTTGTTTTGGTCACAATAAAGACGACGGGTGGCAAGGATAATGCAAGGATATCCTCCTGCATCCTTAAGCCATTAGCACGACGATTAGCGGCTTGTACATCGGCACATTCGGCGGATGGAAGGGCTATGCCAAACTTCCTGGAAGTCCGGGGTCCTTTTCGCGTATATTCCTGCATATTTTTTAGTTTTGCGTAAAAAAGTGCAGCGAGATTTGCGTAAAAAACGTTCGCCAACGGTTTGAAAGAGTCAGCCTGTGTTCCAAGGATTTTCGAAAAAAGGCTTTGTCCGGTTATAAGGTAACATTATGTTGTTAATAAATTTCTAAGAAGTCCAGTTAATTTTTGTTTTGCCCAAAACTATGTGTCTACATTTGCGTAAAAAACGTTGGTCGGGGTTAAGAAAGTCAATTTGTATTCCGGGAATCTTTGAAAAAGGTTTTGACCGGTTATACTGTAATGTTATGTAAGCTTGTGTGCGAATTCCCAATAAATATGGTCGATGATTCTTAGAAAAGGACTTGCTGCCCCTTTTCTCTATAAAATGCATTTGAGTGACAGCCACAATCATAAAAAATCGACCGATAAGCCGACAAAATATTTTATCAAAATAACTGGAGAATAATAAATTGTCGATAATTGTAAATCTCGCCCAAAAAATCCCAGGGCAAACCCGTTAAACTAATTTTCCCAGCCTCTATTTCATCCCCATATCGTACACACACAGAAATGGGAACAAAACAATAAAAAATTGAGGAATTTCTCAGCGCAAATTCTGAAGGATCAGCAAGGATTCTCCTGTGCTACACTAATCGTTTATTATGATCAACGAGCTGGATCAATAAAAACGAAACGAAAACGAAGCGCCTACTTCAGGACATGTCATCGTCCTGTTCGCATTCGGGTTCCCAATCCCGATCCCATTCCCGTACCCATGGCAACCTGTTTCACAGGGTTGGATGTCCTTTTGTGTGTGCGTTGGAGTGTTACCGTTGCCGGCCGTGAGAATTGAATGCTCGGAGGGGCACGGCAAATAGGGGTAACAGGTTCAGGACCTGGCCCTGGCCCTGTTTCACATCCACATCCACATCCACATGCACAGGTATGCAAAAGTCAAATTTGTTTGCTATGGGAATTTGTCGAAGGTGTCTGGCTTGGGAAAGTCTTTGAGTGCGAGTGTGCGATGTGCGGTGGGAATTCGCTCAGCTCCTTTTGTTTGGTGTGAATTTGATGGAAACTCTGAGAATTGTGGGCGGTGAGTGGATGAGAGATCGGGAAGAGTTAGGGGGTTGTTTCGAAGTGGTTCCCAAGGATTCCTTCTTAGGCAAATAAATGGATAGCTGATTAGGAAAATACATGATATAAATTGTCAATAACAGTAAAAGTTCTAAGGCTACTGTGTTTACGAACATTATTAGGTTTTGGTCATTTATTATACTCTTGCAGAGGGTATTATAATTTTAGTCAAAAGTAAGCAACGCAGTGAAGGAGACATTTCCGACCCTATGAAGTATATATATTCTTGATCAGCATCACCAGGAGAGTCGATCTAGCCATGTCCGTCTGTCCGTCCGTCTGTCTGTCTGTCCGTCCGTCCGTTTCTACACAAACTAGTCGGAAAACAAAAATTTAAAAAAGTATAATTTTTTTTATATGTTTTGATTTATTTTTTGGTATTTGCTATTATTTAAATACTATGCAATTACAGTTTTAATTAAATTAAAATCGGATATTTATATCATATAGCTTCGATTGAAAAAATAAAACAAGAAAGGAAAGCTAACTTCGGGCGGAGCCGAAGTTGAAATACCCTTGCAGAATATTCTGCAAATTATATTCTCAAAAATCATTCATAATGCATTCTTAATACTCATAAAAACCCAACACTTCCTAACTTAAAAAACACCAAAGTTATGGCATTTCCAATCGTTCAGTTATATGGCAGCTATAGAATATAGTCGGCCGATCCTTATGCAATTTGATATGTCGGATTGATTAGGCAAAAATAAAACCCATAGAAAATCCCAACTTCCTAACTTAACAAACACCAAAGTTATGGCATTTCCGATCAATCAGTTATATGGCAGCTATAGGATATAGTCGGCCGATCCCGGCCGTTCCGACTTATATACTGCGTGCAAAGAAAAGAAGGGTGTGTGCAAAGTTTCAATTCGATAGCTTTAAAACTGAGAGACTAGTTTGCGTAGAAACAGACAGACGGACATGGCTATATCAACTCAGGAGGTGATCCTGATCAAGAATATATATACTTTATAGGGTCGGAGATGTCTCCTTCACTGCGTTGCACACTTTTGACCAAAATTATAATACCCTCTGCAAGGGTATAAAAAAAAATGAAAGAAAAATTTATTTTGCTGCTTTTCTATTTATCAAAATATTCCTTTGAGATATAGAATTTTTTCTATAAAAGAACTACTACAATATCCAATATAGCTGCTATAGAAACGAAAAATGCAGCTCAAAATCGACATAGCTTTTTTTAAACATATAAAAAATTAAATTTTAAGCAATAGATAACTTTAGCTTATGAAGTAAAAGTAAGACTATTTTAAGACCGTGACAAATTTTTTTTAAGACACAATACAAATTGTATTATATAAAACAATACAATTTAGGAAACTCAGTTTAAAGTTCCATTTTCCAATTTTTAAATGTTATAAGTTTATTGTTTTCTGAAGAATTGAAGTTTACTTGTTTATGGTTTTCTGTAACATATAAATTTATCTTAGCAGAAAGGCAAAATAAAACTTCATTAAAATTGAAAAAAAAATTATAGATTTTATCATATTTTAAGGATTTTGTATAAAACATTTTTAATTTGTTAGTATCAGATTTTCGCTTCATATATTTCGATTCCCACATATACATAATAAACAATCTACATAAATTCTAATTTAATTTTGTTTCCGAACAGAATGCTTCCCATTTCTGCTAATTTCCTGTGCCCGCCCCAGGCGCTCGTTTTGAGACATTTCACACAAATTTCGTGCACTTCCTTCCGGTGAGCGGAAGAAAAGGAGCGCATAAGGGCAACCAGCACGCAGAAAGGATATTCTCCGGCCAGACAATAAATAGAAATCTAAATTGCAAAATATGGGCCACGGCCTGTGGGAACCAATTTGATGTGGGCCCACCCTCGCATCATCGATAAGATCGTCGGCCAAAGGAGGTGCTGAGAAAATCTCGTTTGTTGTGGCAGGACAGAGGGTTCCTTTGTTCGCCTGGGAGAAACATTTTGCTTGTTTGTGCTCGAAAACAGGTTAACAGGTATTTAGCCCAGAGATCATTCAGGATTAGGGCGATGGATGGGATGCGATATCTCGAGTGGGTGGTCAGCTAGCATATGGAATCCATTGGCGAGGGAATGGAGCATGTTCGCTGTCCCATAAATCAGGGAACGAATTGAAATCGTTCGAATTTCATTTGCATTCCAGTACAAGCAATTAGGCTAAGGACTCTGAGAAAAGGGATAATGAAAAAATCATGAAAAAAGAGAAAACGAACTAATGAAATAAAATATAATGAAATGGTAATTTGATACGCGCACACTTATGGAGTGCGTTTCTCAAGGACTCGCAGGTAGTTCTGTTGGCATTCAGAGTCCTTTGTCTGAGCTCACATTGGCGCATCGAATGGCAATGCAAGCAAACAGATCCTTGGCCCCGAAGATCGATCGTTATCCTTGGGGGAGCGTTAATTAGATTTGCACCGAGCGGTCCTGATCAAAGGATCAGTGGTCAGTGGAAACTCTGGAAAAATCACAGACCCACACCTGTGGGAAAGGACCCCACGCAGCCAGGACAATATGCACTTGCACACATCTCTCTCCCCAGGACGTTCCATTGACTGACCTTTCCTCTTCCATTTAATTTCCATTGTATTTTGCAGTTCCTTTTATTAATTTGAAGTGCCCGCACTTCATGCAACTGTTGCGCTTGGTTTCATTTCTTCCTTCCGGAAGGATGGCTCTCTCCTGTTGGCTGCTTTTGTGCTGGTCCTGCACTTCCTGTGGGTCATTTGGAACCCTGCGGCCAAAACAGTCTATTGTTGATTAATTGCGCTGGTCAAGCAAGACGCTTGGGAAGAGGAAGTGGCGGTGGATGGAATGTCTCCCAGGTATTCATTAAAGGAGTCAAGGATATTAATATGATTGTACTTTATAACATGAAATGTTATGCTTAAGAAAATTATGATTATCACAGGGGAACGTCAATTAACTTAAAAGAAGACTTAACTTAAAACTACAGAGTTTTAATATTAATTATGAGCGTTATTGTGCAACAACCAAATGTTTAACTCAATTGTAATGTATTATATATAAAATAAGTTAAATTTATATGTATTATTTACTAATTAATTAAAAAAATAAAATATATGCATTTATTTTACATTTTATTACATAAAATGTTGGCGCCATCTAGCGGCTATTGACAATAGCTTATTTCTACATTACATGGTGAAGTGCCGCCATCTGTGTGTCGTGTTGAAGTTCTCCTGATCAGTGCTAGATGCCGCCGAAAAATATTTTGTTCCAAATTAACAAGATGTAAAATTAAATTAAATAAATAATATTAAAATCTCGGTTTTTTCAATGAAAGTACGCCCGGGTTAATATTATTAAGTTCTAAAAAATTACCTAAACATGCAATTTACGTCAAATAACTTAACCAGTTCATAGTTTTTTTAAAGATTGTGGCTTGCATTTTTATTTGTACTCAAGTAAAGGACTGTTCTAATTTTGATTTGTCAAAAATATTACTTTTTATACCCTTGCAGAGGGTATTATAATTTTGGTCAAAAGTGTGCAACGCAGTGAAGGAGACATCTCCGACCATATAAAGTATATATATTCTTGATCAGGATCACCTCCTGAGTTGATATAGCCATGTCCGTCTGTCCGTCTGTCCGTCTGTCTGTCCGTCTGTCCGTCTGTCTGTTTCTACGCAAACTAGTCTCTCAGTTTTAAAGCTATCGAATTGAAACTTTGCACACACCCTTCTTTCCTTTGCACGCAGTATATAAGTCGGAACGGCCGGGATCGGCCGACTATATCCTATAGCTGCCATATAACTGATTAATCGGAAATGCCATTACTTTGGTGTTTGTAAAGTTAGGAAGCTGGGATTTACTATGGGTTTTATATTTGGCCAATCAATCCGACCTACCAAATTTCATAAGGATCGGCCGACTATATCCCATAGCTGCCATATAACTGATTGATCGGAAATGCCATAACTTTTGTGTTTGTAAAGTTAGGAAGCTGGGATTTCCTATGGGTTTTATATTTGGTTAATCAATCCGACCTACCAAATTTCATAAGGATCGGCCGACTATATTCTATAGCTGCCATATAACTGATTGATCGGAAATGCCATAACTTTTGTGTTTTTAAAGTTAGAAAGTTGGGATTTTTTATGAGTATTAAGAATGCATCATATGAATAATTTTGGAGAATATAATTTACAGAGTATTCTGCAAGGGTATATCAACTTCGGCTCCGCCCGAAGTTAGCTTTCCTTTCTTGTTAAAACGTAAATTTACTTGAATTTGATTGGTAGTTATGTTGATATTAGGTCGGATTTAGTATATTTTTTTAGACCAAAGTATTTAACTAATTAGCATTTCTTAAATAATATAACAATAAATATTATAAAATAAAAGATTTTTAAATTGCCTAAAGATTTGAATCAAACTCAAATCTAAGTGAAAACTGTATTTTAAATAAGATTGTCCGTATTTGCTGAAACATTTTAGAAACTCAAGTATCAAATTGCGGCAGTCATAATTTGTAATGATTTAGCAGTGTTAAGCTCAATGTGGAATATTATTGTTACTTGTATTACCTTTTTAAGGTGAATTACCTAAACATTAGCTGCTAATACTTTTTTTTTATTTCTAATGGTCAAAGCATTCCTTAATTTTCTTAAAACTTTCATTACATATTAAATTATTATTAAAATATTTTGGGACTCATGCTTTGGTTGTGTTTTCCTTGTAACTTTCATATGCTTTGTATGCCCTCCTATAAATTTTATACTTCAAATGGTCACATATTTTTATCCGCTCCTCTCGTCAAACCAACCTTTCGAGTGTGGAGCAGCCCCCACTCGCATGCGTCATCATCCCACTGCGAAAAAATAAGTCCTACAACTGTCGCTTTTTGCGGTGACTGCCATGGAACTCACACCTCCGTGTTCTCGATCCCCCTGTTATATATTTTTTATTGTGCCAGAAGGTCTTTGCTGCTCCTTCGAAATTCATTTTAATTCGTTTTTATTTCTTTTTAATTTTTATTACATTTTCGTATATTAGCTTTGACTCTGCCTTAGTTGTATCCACTTTGAATTATTTGCTGTTTGTTTTCCCCGCCCGCTCTACGGGCTAAAATGCAAAAAGAAAGTAGAAAACAGCACGAGTTTTTTTCCCACCAGCATTGTTCCGTGGACTTTTGGGAGGAGGGGAGAAGGGACGTCTAGGACCAGGACCCTGCTCTGGTGGTCGGTCTCCGGGTCCGGTTTTGTAGTTATTGTCCAACGTTGACTGTTTACGCCGAATGCTCTGCACCACGTCGCGATCCGCGGAGTAGGAAATTAAAAATGGCGAAATAAAGTTAAATTTTTTATGGCTTGTGCAAATAAGTCACAGCCAGGCGACCGACCAGTGGGGTGGCAAAAGTCCGTGGAAGTGCCGAGCCAAATCCCGGCCAGCAGCCGATGTGCCCCGCGTGTAGCTCATCGCTTGTTAAGCAAGAAAATAATATTAGCATTAAGCGTTTGTCGCTGCGCCTCTGACAGACACGGCGCCATCCGTCGTCCCTCCCAAAGTCTTTTTCTTTTTTATTTTTTCTGATATTTATTTTACAAAATGGGCGACAAACTTGCCCGGCTTCGGCTTCACTTTTTTCGCTTATCCTGGTCTTGTAGTTTGTGTGCTTTCCTCTTTTTGCTCATATGGAGCACATCCAATTAAGCAGCTCTGGAAGTGGTCTAAAAAATGAGTTTTGGTGGGAGTGGTGGTGCGGCTGGTGCGAAATTGTCGACTTTAAAGGGATCTCGGGGAATCGGAATTAATGACAGTATGATAGGTTTATGGAACCACCATTAAAATTAAAAATAAATGTTTACAAAACTTGTTTAATAGAAGCTGGGAATGTTTATTAATAGTTATATATAAATTCCATAATACCATACACTTCATTATCTGATAAAGATGAGTAATACGTTTTAATTTAAGAATAATATGTATTTAATAAGATTATGAAATGCAATGCACAGTTTTTGATGTTAATATTAATTTTTTAATGAGCCACTTTACTGCAATAATATTAATAATGACAGTTTAAAGCCTTTTTATGTTTTTAAAATATTTTAAACTTTTTTCGCTTTTTGGCAATTTTTAAAACGTCCTACAAATTCTAATTTAATATGTACAAAAATATTACACAAGACCTACCCCAACTGGTATTGTAGTTCTATATATGGTCACTTCCACCTACCGATTTTAAAGTGTTCCAGTTTCAAAAACCAGTTTTTGATTGACACACTTGCACTTTCTTTCAATTAGCCGCAAAAGACGATCGTGTGCCGGCTGCTGTCTTTTTTTTTCGGCGGTAACAATTTTGGGATTTCTTCAAGACGCTAATTAACTCGTATTTAAGGCAGGAACAGGGCGTGGGTGCAAAAAAGAGGTGTTGAGAGATGTAGGCAGATCGCGTGATGGCTCGCCTGATAGCAACAGCATTCTTAAGAGGCTTTCGTCGGCGGAGCTGGCTCAGTACCGCGTTGGACGTTGTCGCGATCGTGATCATGTGGATTTTGCTGCTGCTCCTAACTCTTCTTAAAGCGAACTCTACCAGGGCCCTTTTCGATCAGTGCAATCACCAGGTGAAGCTGCAAACGGGCCAGAAACTGCTCATCAACTCGCCCTATTACCCGGCTTTGTATCCTAGAGGCACATCCTGTCGCTATGCCGTGGAGGCTCCCAAGGATCAGGTTCTGCAATTCAAATGCGAACTCCAGTTGCAGACGGTGAGGAGATGAAGTGAAAACAAAACAGTGATGCCAAGGGCCTATTTCAAATTAGTCGAAAAAAAGGAATACTATAGACTTAATAAACAATAATCTTAGTTTAGACAGTGCGTTCATTTTGATCTTTCTTCACATACCTTATCCTTTTTTTAAGGTCTATGCTGGAAAAATGATTAAAATACATCAAACAAAAAAATTTTAAAACATAAAAAAAGAGCTACAAAGAAAACATACTTAAATTATAGATCAAAGACACTGTTAAATGAAGAAAAATCTAAAGTAATGACTAAAAGTGGTTACTTCATAAATTTTTGAATGAACATTGAAAAACACTTAATTAGTTTAAAAGGATTCGAAGGCTCTTGCTTTCCCCTTAATTTTAGAACGTTGTTATCTATCTAAATTTGTCTTTTCGCACTATTAAGAGGTATTCAGTCTTAAAGTTCAAAGGTCAGAGTGGCATCACTGTGGTTCTTCTTGCCATTGCCATTTTGCATAGCTCGTTCTTCCGCAGCTTTCCACGGACTTGAAATGCCGCACGGAGGTGTTTCACTTCAATTCCGAGGGCGACGAGGTGTTAACAAGCTCGGAATACTTTTGCGGCAGCGGAAAATTCGAGCGCAAAAGTTTTCTCAATCGTGCGGTGATTTCGTACATATCCAATGGGCATTCGGAGCCGCCCTCAGCCGTGAAGTTAAAGGATAAACTCTCGGCGGGAACAAGTACAAGCTCAACTACCGAGGCACCTCAAGCTGTTTCCATAGAGGAGCAGGACGAGGAAGAGACGGAGGCGGTGCAGGAGGGGCCAGAGGAATCCGAGGAAGACCTCGGCGACGAAGTGCTGCACGTGCTGCAAGATGTGGGCGTCAGCGATGCACTGGCCTATGTGGCCTCCTTACTTTACGACGACGAAGATGCCAGGAAGTCCAGAACCACTACTATTTACCTCCACGCACTGCCAATTCGCAGCAGTTCGAAGACTTCCGGAAAACGTGCCCGGATTGTTACCAGCTACCCACTGGCCCCATCCCCTCGCCAGGGAGGAGGACGCTTCTCCTGCCTCGTGGAGGCCATTCGGCCCACGTGCAGCTGCGGCTGGAGCCGCACTCCCCGGATAGCCAGTCCCACCAACGAGGAGGCCGTCCTGCACGAGTTCCCGCCCATGGCCGGCGTGCTGACCAAGAAGCACGGAAAGCTCTTCTGCGGCGCCGCAATCAGTAAGTAAACGCAAGAAGATCAGGGAACAGGTCACAGGTTATTCAAAACTTAAAGGTCTGGAAATTCAAGTTAAGATCTAACAAAATTGCTCATTAAAAATGAATAAAATCAATTCTAAAATTTATAAACCATTTTTGGTTGACAAAATTAAGGCACCAAATTATAAGGAGTGAGTTTTTTAGATTATGTTTTATTAGCATCTGTAAACAAACAAAAAAAAACGTAAATCCAAGTATTTCTTCCTCAATTCAAATATGGATTTTCATCTATTGCGGTTTGTAGTTAATTTTAATATTACCTTTTGTTCAATTATTTACTTTAACTAATTTTGAAACAGATTTTAATATTCGAAATATTTAATTTTAATTTAAACTATATTAAACTTAAATATAATGCATATAAAACAAGTAGAACATTTTTAATCAAATATTCGTCACATTACTTTAATTATTAAATCATGCAATTTATGATTTTATATATTGTTTAAATATGAACAAAGAAATTTTAGATGAAATAGCAAACAATTTGTATACCCTTGCAGAGGGTATTATAATTTTGGTCAAAAGTGTGCAACGCAGTGAAGGAGACATCTCCGACCCTATAAAGTATATATATTCTTGATCAGGATCGCCTCCTGAGTTGATATAAGCATGTCCGTCCGTCTGTCCGTCTGTCCGTCCGTCCGCAAACTAGTCCCTCAGTTTTAAAGCTATCTGCTTGAAACATTCCCAAAAGTTGCCTTTCTATTGACTATATCATAAAGCTCCCATAGGAACAATCGGAAAAAAAATTAAAAAAAACAAGAAAGGAAAGCTAACTTCGGGCGGAGCCGAAGTTGATATACCCTTGCAGAATACTCTGTAAATTATATTCTCCAAAATTATTCATATGATGCATTCTTAATACTCATAAAAAATCCCAACTTCCTAACTTTACAAACACCAAAGTTATGGCATTTCCGATCAATCAGTCGGATTGATTGGCCAAATATAAAACCCATAGAAAATCCCAACTTTCTAACTTTACAAACACCAAAGTTATGGCATTTCCGATCAATCAGTTATATGGCAGCTATAGGATATAGTCGGCCGATCCTTATGAAATTTGGTAGGTCGGATTGATTGGCCAAATATATATAAAACCCATAGAAAATCCCAACTTTCTAACTTTACAAACACCAAAGTTATGGCATTTCCGATCAATCAGTTATATGGCAGCTATAGGATATAGTCGGCCGATCCTTATGAAATTTGGTAGGTCGGATTGATTGGCCAAATATAAAACCCATAGAAAATCCCAACTTCCTAACTTTACAAACACGAAAGTTATGGCATTTCCGATCAATCTGTTATATGGCAGCTATAGGATATAGTCGGCCGATCCCGGCCGTTCCGACTTATATACTGCGTGCAAATGAAAGAAGGGTGTGTGCAAAGTTTCAATCCGATAGCTTTAAAACTGAGAGACTAGTTTGCGTAGAAACAGACAGACGGACAGACGGACAGACGGACATGGCTATATCAACTCAGGAGGTGATCCTGATCAAGAATATATATACTTTATAGGGTCGGAGATGTCTCCTTCACTGCGTTGCACACTTTTGACCAAAATTATAATACCCTCTGCAAGGGTATAAATATATTTTTGTTGTTTTTGTTCTTTGGGATTTGATTTTATTTAAATATTATTAATTACGGTTTAAATTAAATTAAAATCGGACAACAATATCATATAGCTGCCGAAGTTGCATTAATTAATACGTTGAAGCAAAGACGAAAAAAATATTTGTTTTTTGGGATTTATTTTGAATAATGCTGGGTGTGCCTTCAAACTGTCAAGGGCTTATGCTTCATTACATTTCACTAATTCGTTTAAAAATGTGTACTACCAAAAGGTTTTAGCGAGCAATGTCCCAGGGTTACTTTATTGATGCTATGTAACAAAGGAATGTGGTTTGCTTGGTTAAAATCAAGTTCATTAATCTTAAATCAACAATCAATAATCAATTCAACATTCAAAATCACAAAAGCAAGTATATTAATGTTAAATCAACATGAATAAAAATAGACAATAATAAGATTAATAACAGATAATTTATTAAATATTCTTTTTCTATAATAAAAGTTCAGAATTTACTATAAATACTCTTCTCTTATTCTTGTTCCTCAGTTCATCATCACTACTTGCTGTCGGCGGCGCACTGTTTTCTTGGCCCGGAGACGAGCAGTGCCGCCCAATTGCGGGTGGTGGTGGGCGAGCACGACTTGGCCAGTGCCTACGAGACGTTCGCCACCCGTCGCTACGACCTTGAGGCCTTGATCCTACACGAGGAGTTCAGCCAGGCGAACGGGCAGCCCAGGAACGACATCGCCCTGCTGAGGACGCGAACGCCGATCGTGTGGAGTCGGAACGTGGGTCCTGCCTGTCTGCCACTGCAACCGACGGAGGATGGCAGGAAGCTTCCGCTGGCGGGGCACCAGGTGGTCGCCGCCGGATGGGGTACCACTTCGTACGGCGGACCACAGACCCACCGCCTGCTGAAGGCCACCTTGGATGTGATTGACGGGCAGCAGTGCCGGCAGACTTTGATCTCCGCCGGAGGAGGAGTTCCGCCGCACTCCTTTTGCACCTACACGCCCGGGCGGGACATCTGCCAATACGATTCGGGCGGGGCTCTTTACGAGCGGATCAACGGACGTCTGGTGGCCGTGGGCATCGTCAGTTTCGGCCAGGCCTGCGCCACCCAACAGCCGTCGGTCAACACACGCGTCGCCTCCTTCATCAAGTGGATCCGTTCCAAAAGCCCCGAGGTTGCCTATTGTCCTGGCCGGGTATAAGAGCAGCAACTACTCTGATTTATGTATTTGTAGAATGGCTAAGAAAGTTGTCCAAACTTAATGGAAAACCGCTTTTGATTAATGGGTAATCATGGGGGTTGTAAAAAGAAAATATATATTGGAGAAAGCTGAGAAGTCATTGTCAATACAGCCAATATTGTGAATTGCGCTGGTAACTATTGGGAATGATTTAAAATAACTCACTAAAAGTCTCTGAAATTTAAGCTACCATATGATCTATTTTTTGTAATAAGAATCAGTTAGTCGATCAGGTAATTCAAATTTAGTTACACAGTCCAGAGAAATTTTACAATATTAAGCTATTCATATAGTAAAATTGCTTAGGATTGTGTAACTTTGTTTTAATTTTTTATTTTTATATTTTCTTAAGTCGATTAAAATTATAAGTGCTTTCATTTCCAGACAATTAATTTAATTGATTCCATAATATATAATAATAATTAAAAATTACTATTAGTATCACTATTTATTTTTAGAAATATCTGTAAAAAAAAGTTTTTAAATTTTCCAGCATGATGTGTATAGAAGCTGAGTTTGACATTTATTTATTTATCATTTGCCAATGAACGTCTGCCTATAGCTATTCTCCACCTCCGATTTAAGCGTGTCGAGCCACTCAAAACCCGTAAGTGGGTGTCAAGTTTGTCGCTTTGCCTGAACGCGCTCCTCAGGAACACATCTGCACCACCGCGTGGATGTCCCCGCCACTCGGCTGTCAATCATGCATGCGAATGGAAACGCCTGGCTGGAGCTCTATGTCCTCCGCCTGCGGCATTGCAATTAAGCGCAAATGTCAACTAATTAACCTCTGGGGCGGCGATTGCAATCCGCAATCGGCAATCGGCAACCTATAACCCTTCACTCAGCCGGAGGGCCTGTCAATAAAATTCTTTTCAACTGCTTTATTTTTACACAGCCGGAATCTTCCTTTCATATAAATAATTAAACGTTTCGCATAACAGATGAAGCTCGCTTTTAGGCTTAAAGGCAATACGGATCTCGTCTGGCGGCTGCGTCTTTTTGTTCGCTTTTCTGGAGGACCTGTTTTTTGTCTAACCCGGCATGGCGTTGCACTTTTTCAATGCTCCACCCTCGCCGAGTCCTGTGTATATCCGCTGTCTGGCTAAGCTCGCCTGCATTTCGGAGTTGTTGCAATGTATTGGCCGTGTTTGCGTCTGTTTGTTTTGCAGTTTTGGGTGCCCGGTGCCTTGCAAGCCTGTTGTTCAATTTACGTAAAACGCGGCCAGAACAGAGCAAACCAACGTCAACTGCAGTCGGTATCAAGTGCTGCCTGGGATTGGCGGCTCCGCATAGAAATGGTTGGTGGTGCAGTGGTGCGGTGGTGCGTGGAGGGGCTCGGAGGTAGTTATGGGGCAGGGTGGTTGCCGTACTCTGGTGGCACTAATTGAAAAGCAGCAGCCACTAACAGCAGTCGTCGCTAAAGGGATTGGGACCAATGCTGGTGGGGAGCTACAGTAAAAATGTAATAACTTTGATTAATCCGGAGGTGAAGCCATAGTTACTATTTCTCACAACAAAAAAAAACGCTTTTCAATATTAAAACCTATTCAATGCAGAACGCAAACTAATAACATTTTTCTTTCTTCTTGCTTCATAAGAAGAAAATTTTAGCACTTTTAAAACTCCTTGGGTTTTACTTATTTTTTAGAGTTAGCACTAAATTAATCTTAGTTCAGCCTATTTTTTTTATAAGTGTTTTTTTTCTGTGTTTAAATTGCAAACTAAAAGAGTAAGTCTCAAAATCTCTGTAGCACTATTAATATATTCTAACAAAAACATATGCAAATATTTATTTGGTATATCAAATTTCAAACTTTGAACTTTGACCCAAATAAAGCTTTAAACTCTAAATGATTTCTTTATTTTGTAGTAAGCTGAAAGATTATATTTCATGTCAATTTTATAACCCTTTTAATCCTGTCTTAATTGGAATCTTTTGGAATTTCCACTTGAACTATCCTGCGGCTACCCACTGTACGAAGAAAGGCAATGCGCAGAGCACTTTTTACTTGGTGCTTTTTTTCTGGCAATTTCCTTTGCATACTTTTGTGCTGCATTTGATTACAAAATGGCGGCGCTGTCCTGGCTCCTGACTGCTCCTGCAGGACTTGCAACAGGAGCCGCTGCAGTCGTAATGCAGCCTAAACATTGCGTTTAGTTCTCGTTTTGCTGCCGCTACAACAGCTGCAATCGCCTGGACTTTGACTATTCATTAGCGTGTGCGCTTGTGTGGGTATGTGTATCTGAGTGTGCGGCAGGATGAGGGCCAAAAAACTCTAACAAGCTCAAAAAGCAATTTGCGAGGGCCTCGCTAAAAAATTGGCAAAAATATCGACGTGCCGGCTCATGCAATTGACGTTTTGCGGGTGTGTGGGAGCAGGATTTTCGGGGACTAGGGATTGGGGCCTGTTACATAAAACCACGCGTTGCACAAAAGCCGCCAAATCGTCGTCGTTCAAAAGCCCCAGCAATGAAAATACAAAATGGCCGACCTATATGCAAATGCAAACAGTTCCAGTAAACTATTTCGGCCTTACAAATTCTAAGAAAGAAGGCATCTCGGTTCCTTGCATCTATTTTATGTACAATTGCACGCACTAACTGAAATCCAGTTATCCAAAATGACCCAGAAATCAAAGAGAAAATGATTTTCGGAACTGCTCTGCAAATATTTTGCTAACCCTCAAAAGTAAATTCGGTTTGTGGTCAGAAATTAGTACATATAGACTTTTTCAGCACGTACCTCCTGTACACACGACTGGGCCAATTAAATCCGTTTACATCAGAAAAATCGAATATGGGAAACCAGTTTATTTCTAGATTCAAAACCAAAATTAAAATTTTTTTATTTTTTTTTTTAATTTTTTTTTTTTTTTTTTTTTTTTTTTTTTTTTTTTTTTTTTTTTTTTTTTTTTTTTTTATTAATTTTTTATTTTTTTTTTTTTTTTATATTTTTAATTTTTTTTTTTTTTTTTTTTTTTTTTTTTTTTTTTTTTTTGGTTTTTTTTGTATTTTTTTTTTTTTTTTTTTTTTTTTTTTGTTTTTTTTTCAAAAATAAAACTAATTTATTCCTCATATATCTAAAAAAAAATTACTTTTTTTTTTTTTTTTTTTTTTTTTTTTTTTTTGTTTTTTGTTGGGGGTGTTTTTTTTTTTTTTTTTTTTTTTTTGGTTTTTTTTTTTTTTTTTTTTATTTATAATTTCTTTTTTTTTTTTTTTTTAACCCTCAAATTTTTTGGTTTTTTTTTTTTTTTTTTTTTTGGGTTTTTTTGGTTTTTTTGGGGGGTTTTTTTTTTTTTTTTTTTGTTTTTTTTTTTTTTTTTTTTTTTTCATATATTTAACCCTTTTTTTTTTTTTTTTTCTTTTTTAACTTTTTTTTTTTTTTTTTTTTTTTTTTTTTTTGTTTTTGTTTTTTTTGGGGGGGTCCCCCCCCCCCCCCCCCCTTTTTTCTTGGTTGGAGGGGGGGGGGGGGGGGGGGGGGGGTTTTTTTTTTTTTTTTTTTTTTTTGGGGGGGGTTTGGGTGGGGAAGAAGGAGGGGGGGGGAAGAGGGGGAGGGGGAGGGGGGGGGGGGGGGGGGGGGGGGGGTTTTTTTTTTAAACTGGGGGGGGGTCCTTATTAAATATATATTTTTTTTTTGGGGGGGGGGGTGTCCCCTCCCCCGCTTCCCCCTTTTTACCCAAATTTTATTCCCCCCCCGAAGGGAAAAAAGTATTAGCTTTACCAACCCGCAGCTTTCACGTTGTTCTCTAAATTATTTCCAACAACCCAGTAAATTAATTTAATTATTGTAGTAAACCAGATTAATGACAATGCTTTATACCGATGCATTTTAAAAAGTTCTCTCCCTTGAATAACTAAATAAAGTTTTATAGTAAAGTAGGCACTTAAAATAAAATCAAAGATACTAGTTTATTTTTCGGCTTCAATAAAATTTGAAATAATATTAAAAGTATTCGTAGAACCTCGAACCTTAGGCCAGAATGTCTTTGGGTCGAGCTCTCGGCAGCTTTGTACTTACGGGTGTTCCCCAAAACAGGAACTTACATCAGAGGAGGACGCGACGACCATTTCCGGTGGTGCCAGATGCCAGGCTGAATACTCCGGCGCAGTCGTCCCGCCCACCTCGTATTTTGGTCAAGAGCTTCCTGGCCCTCCATCAACTGGACTCTAAGTACATGCAGGATGCTCCTCGTGATCTTAAGGACTTCTTTATGTCAAGATGGAAAAAAGTAAAGAGCTGATACACAATGCTCGACTTGCCTCTGAAAATATTAAGTTTAAATTTATCAGAAAGCCAATAAATTAAATCATTCTTTTATAAATTTGATACGGGCTGATTAAAGATAAGGCGACAAGAATATTGCTTTCGTTTGACTTCAAGAAAAATGTTTTATTATTCCGTTTTAAATTGGACGCTGTTTATAGAAAAATATCAAAATTTAAAATAGCATTGATAATCAGATTTATTTATCCACTTAATGTTTGGTGCTAGCTACTCCCATTCAAATAGAAGTAGGCCCATTACATACACTCAAATTACGCATACATTATGAAAAGCTTGTTTTACTTTCGTCGGTTAACCTAAATTTTAGAATTAGTCTTTTAGCACCGGTAACGTAACCATCTATCGCATTATGTTCCTGGGTCGGGCCCTGATCGGATTCCCGATTTTCAAGGCTAAGACGCGGTTGGAGCAGCGGCGCCGAATGTCGGAGCAAAGGCTACCATACCATCGGAGACCAGTGCCGGTGGAGATTCAGGAGCGGAAGGACTCGTGGACCGATCTGAAGAGACCGCCCTTTCTGCTGGTGAAGAGTTTCCTGAACTTGCGCCACATGGACCCCGACTATGGGATGGATATCACGCGAGTTACGGATGAGCTAAGTTTCCAGCCACACCGCACTCTCTTCATCAATATCATGCGAATGCCGCATCGTAGCCTTTCGGAAACTTCGGAAAGCTTAGAAGAGATGATAGTTAAGAATCCACTAGCTTCGGATCCGGTTCCAGAGCCTTGAGTGTGGGTGTTGAGTTTAATGAAAAATAATGTTTTTTTTTTTAAGTTTTTCAAAATAAATGTTTTTTTTCAATTTGACAATTTTATTCTCTATTCAGGAACTTTATTTGACATCTTTAAGAAGCGAACCTTTTAATAATTTTAATTTTAATTTCTTTCCAAGGACCCTAACGATCATAACTTTTATTAATTCTTTTCTAAAAACAATTTTTTTTTTAAGATTTCGTGGCTTTATTATAAGCATAAACTAACCCACTAATTTTGTTTATATATAAAGTCCAATCATTTGGAAAATTAATAGTTTTGATATAACAACATAGGGAAAATTCAATATTTCTCATATAAACAATGTTTTATAAGTGCAACGATTATCAACGGTCTCTTCTACCTAGTAAATCGAAATATCCGAAATTTATAATAACTTCCAATTAAAAAAATTAAATTGTAGTCTTAGAAACTTGTACCCCATAAATAAATATCACTGCAATATAGGAAAAAGTAACAGATTTATTTTATTTCTTGTTGAATAATTGTGGAAATTTTAACGGACGATATAGGTCGATTCGTATTTCTGGCCTAAAAATTCTGAGTATTAGACTGTGTGTGGCTTAGGCAATTACTTGAATAGGCTATTGGAAGCCTGAGGTAGATGGGGCCGGTTATATCTAAACTGGACATTTCCGAATGGAGGCCATCCAAACTGGAGTCCATTTTGAAATGGACGTTTGTACGTCATAAGAAGCATCAACGGAAACCGTCTAGATATCGTAGGTCCCGTAAACCATTCGTCGCCGAAAATCCGCCCATCGGTAGCGCGGATTATTGAAGCGAATGGTTCGCACCCCGTCGTCGGTGTGAACCTGATCCTGGTGCTTCTGGAAGCTCTTCACATAGCACCGCGGAGCACGGTGGTACTCCGGATTGGGTTCGTCACGCCGAAGGTTCTCTTCGGTCCTGTTGGGGTCCTCCATGCCCTGGATGCGTCGTGTCGAATAGGCGACTCGTCCTGTCTTTCGGCACGTGGCCTGGCGGACCGCCAGTCGGAAAAAGATCGGTAGGCTCAGATTGGTTGGCAACATATTGAAAGATCTTGAAAATTCGTTCTGATTTGGTACGGATACCTTCGATTTTGGCGCACCAACGGATGAATGGTGGTTCTTCGGTAATGTTGCGATTACCTGGCTTAAAAGTTGGGCCGAAAGGAAAGAATATAAATTTATTGCTTATCTATTGTGTTTGTTTGCCTGTCCAGTGGGAGAAATGTAGAAAAAGTGAACCAATTGTAGGTGGTGTAGTCGAAGGAATAGACGTTTCACCCTCGGCTTACTAACAAGAAAAGGTTTAAAGCTCATTCTTTATACCAAAAAGTACTAACATGTTTATGTATATCATATATATATAGTAACTAGTTTTTTATTATGTTAAGAAAAGCAGATTCATTAATTAATTTTCAAAAATTAGTAATTAATAGAAAGGTAAAATATTTTTTTGTTACAAGAATGGTAAAATATAAAAGCCTATCTAAATTTCCTAAATTTAAGTAAAGGTTTTATAGCTTATTAATATATTGGGATGCATTATGGGAATGGAACATTTTTGGATTCAACTTTATTCAACTTTCTCAAATTTCTTTTAAGGTTTCCCACTTTTCTGTCAACCAATTCTAGTATTGCACACACTCGAGACTAAAGCACAAAACATAATTAAACAATTAAAAAGCCTTTTGGCACTCGTCCTTACTTAGCCCAATTCGCAGGGCGGCACATCAAAGCCGTAAAAAGAGTTGTTCGCCTAATTACGCCGCCAAGTGCAGTGGATGGAAGAGCGAAATGCAAATTTGCAACAAGGCAATAAAAATGTACATCAAAATTAACTGGAAACAATGAGAGCGAGTGGCAAAATCACAGAATTTGCGGGGCAAGTTAATTGTGCAACTTTGAAGTGAGGAGCAGGATTGAAATAGGAAAACACAGAAAAAAACCGAGCTAATTGAAATGAAAAAGGTGAATTAAAAATACCTAAAAGCTTATTAAATATAAATTTATAACAAGTAAAATAATACAAAGAACAGACTTTTTTGTAAACACTTTTCGATGTATTTAGTACTATAAATCCTTTTTTTTCTGAGTGCCGGCTAGTAGGACAGTGCTTTGAATGAGAAGTGGCTGGACCCTCGGCAGTCTAGTCCCGGACTGTAATCCTTGCTGCTCTGCATTTTTTGTGCCCCCGTTGCCCATTGATTTTTTCTATATTATAAAATTTATGCTACCCGCTCTGCTTTGTTGCACTCTTGTCTCTGCCACCACCGCCCCATGCACTTCATTTTCCGCCTTTGCTTTTTATAGTCATTTTTTATTTTTACATTTTTTCCAAGCGCTTCGGAGCTTTTGTTGTCGAGTGCGCGCCAGTGGCACCCGAGCCAAAAGAAAAGGGCTTGACAATAAAAATTATGAAGCATATTACTTGAGTGCACTTGGGTTCCTTTTTCCATTCTTTCTCTTTTGCCACTTTTTCACCCAGCCCTTGTTTGTATTTCCTCAGATCAGAAGGATGCGAAGGTATGCCAAAGTATGTCGCTAGTTTTTGGAGAGCAAACTTGCGTGTTAAGTAGCAAAAAGGGTTAAGAATACTTGGGATAATAATAAACTGGACTAAAAGAGAGGGGAGATATCTGGCAAAGACGGTCTCAAACTGGCTTGCTAAGATACATACGTATTAAATATAACAAATTGGTGGTTTTCCCAAAAGGTTTCTCATAATAATAAACATTAATTTACTTGAAATGTTTACCTTATGTCAATTTATTTGTATAATTTAACGATGCCTTTTTTATCATATGATGCTTTATGGTATGAAAAGTCTTTTGTTATGATTTGACATTGTAAATTAGATCGAAACAAAATACTTTTTATACCACAAAGCGCCCAGGAAACCGAATCAGTAGGCTGTTTTTAGTCCCGCTCCGTAACTCCAAAATGTCGAGGATAGTCCTGTCTAGTAACTGCCGTAGATCATCTTCCGCCGGAACTCCGACCAGTGGTACGTGTCGGAGAAGCAACTGCGCTGCCTCTTGCAAAACTGCCGGAAGTACTCCTGGCTCCTTCTTTGCCGCTCGAGAGTGGATATGCTGCAGTCCGGTCTGGCAAGTAGCTCGAGATCCAGTTTATAAGGCAGATCATTTTTTTTGAAATAAACGAGGGGAATGGTGCGACGCACCTCCGGATGGACAAACACTCCGGGCTGCTGGCAGATTTTTGGCCGCGTTTGATATCCCCGGACAAGGTAACTTCCCTTCCCCCGCAGTCTTTTTAGAATTTTGATCATTGTCTAAAACTATTATGAAATTTTTATTTATTGTTTAAATCTAATAATGCATCCCAAACGTTTTTGGGATGTATGAAGTTAAGGCTACTGTGTTTTAATACATTTTAATTTTGAATTTATAATTGTCATTTCAGGAAAAATATGTGACTACTTTTTAAGATCCAGTAGCTTAAACATAACTAAAATAAATACAAAATGGACTAAATATAAGCGCAGAATATAATTTTGAAGACTAAATTTATTTGTTCTTTCTTTAATTACGCGAGCCCCTACATACAAAGGAAAACGTGAGTTCAGTCGGAAAATAAAACCCGATTTCCGAGAAAGGAGACGCCCATCGAGGTCTGGGGAGATCGAGGGTGTCATCGTCGTCTAGTAGCTCGACCGGCCGTATATCATGCTGTGCCGGAACTCCGCCCATCGGGTGCGGTGGCTGCGGTAAGAGTTGTACGGCGAGATGACCTTCCGGGAGATGGAGGGCCGATTGGGACTTTCGTACTGCTGGGAGGCGATGGCCACCCGCCTGAGCAGCTCCTCGTCGGCGCGGGCTCGCTCCCGCTCCTCCTCCGCGTTGTCCTCCGGCGGCCCGAAGACGGTCTCCCGGACGGAGCGGATCTCCAGATCCTCCTCGTGGTCGTGGTCCTCCCCCTTGGCCTCCGTTTCGCGACCGGGCTGCTCCCCCTCCTCCTCCTGCTGCTGCTGGGCCTCCCAGTTCTGCTGCTGCGACCTGTAGGCGTTCGTGTCGTCGTAGTGGCTCAACTGTCGCGACTTGACGTTCCGCCGCTTGGCCGCATTCTGGGCGGCCACCACATTGTTGCGCCGGGGCACGATCTCATCCGGCTTGATCACGGGTCGGAACATGGCCGAGTCCAGGCCGGAGACGGTGTTGCTCCACTGGCGACTCTGCTGCTTCTGGCGGAGAAGCTGCGCGGCCGCGAAGCTCTCCTCCCGCATCGGCCAATCCTTGTACCAGGGAACCGGGCCCGCGATCCCCAGTGGTTGGCCCTTCTCCAGGCCCGATGAAATGGTGGTCAGTGAGCGCCGGCCATCGGTTAGACTGCGCTTGGCCAGGTGGCGCATCGATTGCAGGTTCCTCGGAAAAACGGGCATCTCGTTCGTGTGGTTCCGCCCAAAAAATTTCTGATCAAACGGCTAATTTTAGAACGGTTTGAGTTCGCCAGGAAAATGGATCCACAAAAATTTTAAATGGATAAAAGTAAGGCGCTCGGGCAGAACAAATTTTGGTTGTCTTTTGGGGAAAACTAGTTCGAAAATGAAAAATATCACAAGTCGTGGGTTGATGTGCTCTTAAAGACGCTGACACTTTTGCACATGTTTACTGTGCTTGACCAAATTTCAATTTCAATTTCTACGAACAGATGGACCAGAAAAAAAAGAATGTGTGCTGCGAAAACAAATAACATAATTTATTTACGGCCAGAAGGAATTCAATTTGATTGCGACTTGAGACTTTCGGGTAAATTAAACAACAAAGCCAAAATGAAAATCACAGAGCAAAAACACAATTTGCCATCGTCACATGAACATTTATTAATTTTGCATCAGCTGCAGTGGTGCGAGGTCCTTTGGTGGCCCGATAAGTCCTGGGCAGAATTTAACGCAACTTCCAAATGGAAACAACAACAACTGCTAGACATGAAATTGAGTTAGTACACAATTACAACAACAATTATGAGTGAAGCCGGCAATTTTACAATAAATAGCAAAATATACAAGAAAAGGAATCCATTTCCAAGTCGAACTTTGTACACTTTATTACCCGTTAAAGGATATTTTCCGCTTTTCCATAATTTCTTCATTTTATTCTGGAATTATAGTTATTTGAATTGGCAATATTTGCCAATTATTTGGTTTAATGTAGGGACCATGCCTCATCTTAAAAAATCAGAGTGGTTGATTAATTTGGATAACTAGAGAATAGTAATAGTACTCAATGATTGGAACTTTTTCAAATACCTTGAAACGGAGTCGGAATAATAGGTATACCTTTTTCCTGGTAGAGTATTTGATAAAACTTTATTGCGTACAAAGAACTATGCCTGGCGGTTTTGATGGCCAGCGGGGTATGATTGGTTAGTGCGGGGCTGCAGAGCTTGTGCGTTGTTTAAATGTAGGCAGAAACATGTCACTGCTTTTTAATTTAAATGCAAATTAAGGCCTTTGTCAACACTTTGCCAAACTCAAGACAACGTCGACAAATGCCTGAGGCAACTGCAAGGAGGTCGGTTAAGGAATGACTCTGTGGGAAATATAAGTTTAAGCTATGCGTGTACACAGGGAAAACAACAAGTTATTTCTTGTATATATTGCATTTAAATTTATAACATTTATTTTTAATAAACTGTCACAAGTTTAAATGTCAATACCATGTTTTTTCAAAATTTGTAAACAACATTGATCGTTTACATTAAAACAAAGTTTTTAGTCAATGACATATTAGGGTGCTATTTTTCTCTCTGTGCATGTATATGTTCAATCATCAGGTGGACATCCCTAACGCACACACACCCCTCCGTCCAAATAGCGCCACATCCAGTTGAGGTGCGATGTGACCCGAGTGTTGACCCCAATGCCGAAGGGCTGACCGCAGGCGCGGCCAAAACTGATCACGCCCAGCTGGAACATGCGCTCCCGCTGCCGCAGGATCACCGGGCCACCGGAGTCGTACTGACACGAGTCCTGGCCCCTGCCTCCGGCATCGTAGGTGCATAACTGGCTGGCGGATATGCTGGAGTTGAACCGACCTCGGCACACGGCATTGTCCATGGTCAGCAGGGTGGCCTTTTGCAGGGTGTTCGATTTGGAGGCGGCAAAGCCCAGTGTTCCCCATCCAATTATATCTACATTCTGGTAGTTGAAGTTGCTGTCTCTAAGGGAAAATTACATTGAAGTGTTCAACATTCTGCAGGATCTTAACTTACGCTTGTCGAATGGGAAGACAAACGGGAGCCACTCCTCGAGACCATTCCATGGGCGTTAGCGTCTGGAGGAGAGCTATGTCATTTATATTGCCAGACGCGGTTTCCATGTAACCAGGATGGTTTACTATATTTTGAATGCGATATTGAGCGGCATAGATCGATTCCCTACCTATAAAATATATTAATTACATACATTTTATACTAGCTGTTAAAAGAGAGAAATAAATAAATGGTCTATCATTCGTAAAGTTGTAATCAAACAAACAAATAAAAACCGTTATAAGTACTAGAGCTTAAAGGTTAAGTCAAAACTATGCTTAGAAAATTCTAATATATCATAATAAAATGCGTTTGACCCAGCACAAGACTTATGTTGCCCTGTGTTACCATAGCGTAATGTAATACTTAAGATTTACAGTTTACTTTTCAGTAAGTTAAATCTAAAATTGTCTGTCTGAGGAATATAACTGTAGAACTGGTTAGATTTATAATTTTTACTGAGTGAAAATTACTGCAAATAAGAAATGTTGTTATGTAAAATAGGTCATTAAAAAATTGGAGAATTTATCTTATTTAAATAGTAAATAGTATGAATTACTGCAAATAAGAAATGTTGTTATGTGAACTAGTTCATTAAAAAATGTTAAGAATTTATCTTATTAAAATAGTAAATAGCTTACCGGAGCTCAAGTCATGCTGCCCGACCAACGCCAAAAGGCGACTGGCCACCGGTTGGCGAGCGGTACAGTGGGCAGCGGTCATGATGTACCGGTCGCTGACAATGCTCCCGCCGCAGAAGACGGGTAGGTTGGAGGCCAGGTCCCGGATGCCCACCATGGAGGGGAACTCGTGCTTGCCCGCCTCCATCCCGTTGGCAATCCGCGTCGGAAAGGACCAGCCGCAGTCGCAGGGCGCCGGACGGGCCACCGCTTGGCAGCTGAGTCTGGAGCGCTGCTGGGTCTGCGGACTGCTCGAGTAGTAGGCGAAGGCCATGGTCTGGAAGTTGGATATTCGGTTGACCTGCCCCATGCGGCAGTAACGCTCGCCATCCCGAAACTGCAGGTCGCCATCACGGGAGATGAACAGGAACTCCGATCCACAAGTGTCGGGGAACTAAACAGGAATAGGTTTAATATGGGATTGCCAAATATTATCACCATAAAATAGTTGTATATTTACTATAAGTCTGTTACCTAATATTTTATAAGATTTTATATAAGAAACTATGTACTCGTTATTATGAGAGTCAAAAAACACTACTTACCAACTCAAAGCGACAATTTAAATATATCACATGATTGCGGGGGGCTTTCAAGCGAAATCGACAGTTAGTACCACTTGGTATAGCTCCGGGAAAATTAAAGCTGGTTATATTAATGGCTCGATTTGGCTGCAAATCATAGAATCTGGTGCACTGTTGTTGGCCACAAGCTAAACTGATTAATAACAGCACAAGAAGCGCCGAAAACCTTAATTTCGTACATGATGGGAATGTAGCAATTACGTCTGTAAACGCAATGAAGCTTCTGCTCAGCTTATATATGGCCACTTTAACTGATAAGGTACAACAAAATCTTAAATATTTAAGAATTGCAAATATTTTGATCAAATAGAATATTGAAGTCAAGGTGAGGAAATATAATACAATTGGCTTGGTTCTTAAATGCACTCAGAGAAATATATAAAATTACAGATCTGATCAAATATTGCATGGGGTTTATTGTGATAACGAAGCATTTACAAAAAGTAAAACAAATTTGTATTTTAAAATTTGTGAAATTAAAAAAAAATTTTTTTGAAGTCATTTATTTAAAATTTATCAGTTTAGTTGTGTGGTTTTTTTAATGTATATATTTTTAATGTAAACCAATTTTGGTTTGACAGTCTATTTTTTCGATGTTAACATACGCAAATAAAAAAAGAAAGGGGAATAGAACCTTACCAGGAAAGGAGAGGGAGTGGAAAAACGACACCAAACTTTTAACGAAGCCGATTGAAAAACCACATTCGAAGGTATTGATAAACACAATAAAACGCATTTTACTTTTCCGAAATATTTAAATGTATCGTATATAAGCGATTGTGGGCGTTAAAGGGGCGTGGCACCTTTTAAACAAACTCGCTGCAAGGAACTCCTAGAATCCATCAAAATGCCAATCTCAGCTTTATAGTTCCGAGATCTCAGCGTCATACGGACGACAGACAACGGACAGACAGACGGACAACGGACAGACGGACATGGCTATATCGACCGGCTAGTGACCCTGATCAAGAATATATATACTTTATAGAATACAATATACCCTTTACTCTACGAGTAACGGTATAAAAATAGAATCCTTCCAAAGTTAAATAAGTAGGCAGCCACCTCTCAATAAATTAAGTTTTTAATCCATACAATTTATTTCCATTAGAAGCTGACCACACAGTTAGAATTTCCAATCTTTTGGCGTATCCAACTTATATACGATGTTATTCTGGTGTTTACACCCATCGGATATTGAGTTTCCGCACAACTCTTCCCAAAACTGATTACTCCGACCAAAAACTGCTTGGATTTTCGGAGGATGACTGGACCACCGGAATCGAACTGGCAGGAATCGCGTCCCGTGCCCGAATAATCGTATGTGCACATCTGGCCAGTGTATATGGTGGCTTGGTTATATTCGGTCTGGCAGTCCTGATTGGTGACCACATTCAGATTGATCTTCTGCAGACTGGAAGAAGTGGGTCCGGCAAAGAAGAGCGTTCCAAAGCCGATCACATCGACGGTTTCATAGGTAAATAAAGATGACCTAGTCGAAATATCTTGTTAAAATAAACAGGTCTTTAAACTTAAAACCTAAGCTCACGTTCCAACAGGCGGCAGACAGATGGGACCCACACCGCGGGACCATAGAATATTGGTGGCGGTTATCAAAACGGCAATATCATTATTGATATTTGGTTCATACACGTAACGTTCATGGAGAATCATCTGCTGTATATTATATTGTCGGTAGTACCGTGAATTGGCAGCTTAAATAGGGCGTTGACATGGGTTAAAATAAATAAGAAATATGAGATCATTCGAAACTAAATATTAATATTTGTCTTAATGTTTTTTATAAGTAATATCATGAATACATTTACTTTAAGTTAAATTATTCTTTGTAAACTTACGATTTTGCAGATCATTTGTTCCTACAATAGCCACAATATTTGTAGCTTGGGACACCAGATAAACACAATGGGCAGCAGTCAAGATATAACGATGGGCCACTGAAAGAATATAATAAAAAATCGAATTTGAATAAATAGTAAGATATTCAGACTTAATGTTTATTCGAATTATGTCATAAGTATTATTATATTTTTTGTATTTATAATTTTTGTATGGAATACTAAGTCAAATTTATTTGAATAGATTAGTAAGCTCACCTATGGTTCCGCCGCAGAAGGATGCCTGAGGCATGGTCACATCCTTGAGGGCCACCATGCTGGGAAATTCGTTAGCCGACGCCTGCTGGCCGTTGGCAATCCGTGAACTGGCGGACCAGCCGCAGTTGCAGTTCTGTTTGGTGGTGGTCAAGGTACACTTGAAGTTTCCCCCCGAAGTTCCCTTGGAAATATAGGCGAAAACCAATTCCGTGAAGAGGGACTCCCGCGAGAAGGATCCAGAGCCGCAGAAATTTTCGGCACCTCGCATAAGAAGATCGCCTTCTGTGTCCATCCAAAAGTTATCGGTGGTGCACGAACCGCCACTCTAAGAGTGACACCGAAAAATGATTTATGTTTAGTCAACTATAAAAATCAGATATCATGGTAATGCCCCACCGATGGTAGTCCTACGGTGCATTGGACTTGAATGTAATAGTCCACGGGCGCGTTGAACTTGTACCGACAGGACGTTCCGCCAGGATAATTGTTGGGATAGTAGGGCGACTCCACGTAGATGGTTCCCGGACTCAGGTTGTAGGTGTTATCGCAGCCCTCGAAGTAGGCCAGAACAGCAGGTGCCAGCAGCACAAGCGAGATTAGAAAGCGGCTAAACATTTTGGCCATACCTTTCGGCTACGTAGCCAGCACTCAACTGGGCTAACTCGATAATGCCACCCACACCTAATATCAGCCAAGACAACTAAAGCTAAAGCTAATTAAATAAATAAAAGGCCGCGTTCCAGCAGATGATAAAACAGTTGGAACTTGCCATTAAGTATACGCCCCGTTTGTAAATGATTTCGCCCCCAGTCTGCAGTTGTGCAAATAAATGAATGTAACACTTTGGTGACCTTGTCAAATGCATACGATATCGGCTTTGAACTTGGCCAATAGTGCCTTGGCATTTTCCATTTCCTTGATAAGCCCCTATGCATTTGCTGGTTTTCGTTACTGAAATTCTTGTTGTTATATTATGTTGTTCAGCTCAGATTGCTTCGGGTTATCCACCAGCTGTGCGCCTGGTGATAAGCAGAGTTCGCAGGTAAATAAACATTTTCTGAATAATGAGCTCTAATTATTATGCAAATAACAGCGAATATACTGAAAGGCGTCAACGCTCGAAGATCTGTTCAAATAGATTAAAAGTGAATTTACTTCTTCCCGGTGCTACTGTTTGTCCTCGAATTAATGATAAGATAAACCAGAAACAGGAACGAAGCTTATCAAGTAGGCCTACTTTTTGGGGAATTTAATATTTAATTCTTAGTATTATACATTTTTAAATAATATCTCTTAAATATTATTTGTTTATGTTTTTACAACTGTGTTAAAAAAAGGAAATTTTAAATGGGCATTTGCTTTTTAATTAAACATTAATAAAACAATATAATTGAATTTTATTTAAGTACTTAACAGTTCTGATTGAAGAAAAATTTTTGGTATTTTACATAATAAAATTCTAGCCTTGTTGCAGATTTTATGTTGTTTGGCTTATGCAAACACGTCGTTTAATTTGCAGATTTTTATTCTGATACAAAACAAATAGTTAACCATATGCTTAAATGTACTTGGCGAGGCGAGTGAAAATATTTGTTGGTATTAAATTATGTTTACGCTTACGGTTTCATAGCTATGACAGCTTTGCCATAAAAGAAGCAAACGGAAACTTTTAGTACTGAAAAAATTTAAAGGCCAAAAACACAACGGAAAAGCAGTCAGCAAAAAATAAATTTGCGCTAAAAATCAATTAGGAAAATCGGCAACAAGAACAAAGCCGTAATGGCTGACAAGGTGCAGCTAAATGTCGATGAAAATCAAGCAATCTGTCTATCAAAAATTGACTTTATGCAAAAATATCCACCGAAATCATATACATAAAAAAGCGCTCGAAAGCATGCAGCAGTTTTGTCACAGGACGCTCCGAGCTGTGTAATTATAATATGGAAACAAAATGTTCCATTTTGTTCGGCCGCAACACTTTTGTTACTCCACCCAGACTCCAGGCCCACTCTAATTTCCCAGCCCTGTACATAGCGATCCAATGTCTATATTTTCTAGTGTCACACATTTTTTGCACCGTTTTTTTTGGTGTGCGTTTTTTGTTGTGGTCCATTTTTTCGCCGTGCATTTGCATTTTCCACTAATTTGACTTTTGTATTGTTGCGGTCGCTCCTGACCCACCCCCTACATCCAGTTTATGTGTTAGAGTTTTTTCTGCTCCTTTTGGCTTTCCACCAATCGCATTCCCTCTTCCACATCTCTGTCTATGTGTGTGTGACTGCGCGTGAGTATTGGTGGGTGGTCTGCGCTACGCACTTTTTGACTTTTCGTTGGGGAAAATGCGTTTTCATGCATTGGTTGGCTGTCGAGTGGGATCCACCGGGGATGGGTCCGCCTCGGGTTGGGTGTTTGGCGAACCTCCCCCCATATAGCCCCGTCTATGTCTCTTTTTCCGTTAGTTGGAGTGCATTTTCCCAGAGCTTGTCATTTGACGTGGCTGTGACTCTGTGGCCATATCATTAATTGCCGTTAGCTAGTAAACGGAACTCAGCATGAAAAGGCTCCGAACACACACAAATTAGTGGGCAACATGAATTGCATAAGGGGTAAAACGAGCAAAAGGTAAAAGCCGGAATAGGGGAAAAAGTATATGGTAAAAAATTGTTAAAAGGAAATGGTTTCAATTTGGAAAATTTGGAGTCTATGTTACGGGATTAAAAAATGTTTATATTTTATATAGGAAAAAACATACAAATTAAATAAATAATAATACAAAAATATTAAAAAGTCTAGGGTTAGCTGTTGTTTCATGTAAATTTGCGTTATATTCTATTTTAATACAATATAATTAAACAAATTTTTCGATCTCAATTATACAATTTACAACAAAATAATATTAAAAAGTAGATGAAATAAAATTAAAGTAAAATTAAACTAAAGATTTTTGTGTCCAATTAGGCTTAAAATCATTTAAAAAATAGTTAATATTTAAAAGTATAGCTCAGGAGTTCATCACTACATATAAGCATTGTACTATTGAACTCCCAAAAATACTACAATAATATGTTTTGAAATTGGATTTTAAATAAGTTTTTTTAGTAAAGCCATAATGTGGTTCTTTTTTATCCTTGACCTATTTATTTATTATTATTTAAAATATAATGTCCTAAGAACTCTTAATTAACATAGATTTTCCCAGAAATCCAATTAAATATTATTTACTAATTAGTGTATAAATTTTTTTCCTTTATTTCAAGAGAGTGAGTCTTGGCTAGTGGTGCTAAATTAGAAAATAAAATTATTTTCCCTTAAAATATTGACCACGATAAACCAAAAATATTTGCTTTGCAATCGGTGAACAGTAATTGCAGTTTCCTGGGCCATAATCCGGCAGAATCGGTGCATCCATCAAAGCCTGCCTCCACTCTCCGTCCGTCCTTTGTCCCCTGAAACACCCTCTAAAATTCACTTACAGCCCATATAGACTGAACGGAAAACACATTCAATTTGCTGCACCTTCAATCACAATAAATCCATACAAATTTCCGTTTTTTTCTCAGGGCGCAATGCTTTTCAAATGCAAACTAAGCAAATTTTAATTAATGAAAAATTGCAATTAAAAAACGGCCATGGCTTTCTTGCCACCGCCAACTATCTCCCTCTGGCAAGTACAGTTTTCCATTTCCACGTCAGATAAAAAATGGCCAAAGGAAAAGAGCAAGCAATCCGCAGGCAAACAAAAACACAAAACTGGTGTGCCCAGTAAATGCATAAAAAAACAAAACGCACCGAGAGCAAGTACATACATATGGGTATATATAGGGGGGTTTTTTCTTTATTTTTGGGGCATGCATCTAAGCAAAGCTCTGTCGCTGCCAGCGTCGCCGATTAACATAAACACGCAAAAAACATTAACAGAGCCTCGATTTTTTGTTGTATTTTCCAGGCCTCAGCCTCGGCTTCGGCCAACGGCAACGCAGTTAGAAAAGCCAAGAAAAAAACAAATTTGAGGGGGGTAAAACTAAGGCAGAGGCAAAAAAGATATTTCATACATAGATAACGCGGCGTATGTGTAATGTGCGAATGGGACGCAAGCTGGCGAGCGGCGCTGGCTGCCTCTCATTCTGGCATTCGCTCATTACACTCATTTCGCATAGTTTGGGGCTGGCGCATAGGCAATTTTCCATTTTCCGCACACACACACACCGCTGCAGCACCCAAACCCAATCACAACGACAACAAGCCGAAGTTTAATACCCCAGACTTGACGAAATCAAAAGAAAAAGTACAAAGGAATAAGGTAACATAATAAACTAATTTGCATCGTTTCAAGTCAATGCTTTATACCAAAATGTCATATACAAAAGGGAACTTCGCAGCCTTTAACAATTTTCCTATCTCCTTTAAGATATAGACTTCGAGCGGCAAGCGCTTTACCCTAATCAAGATATGCGTAAATAAATAAGAATTGAAAAATTTATGTTAGTAGCTTACACACTCGCGAAATATTCTGATAATCATTAAATTTGGAGCGATTTCACCCTATTGTTCCTATGGGAGCTATAGGATATAGACGTCCGATCGGCACGCGCTTTTACCTTGATGAAGGAATGCATAAAAAACGATTTGAAAAAATGTACAGCAATAGCTTTTACACATCGCGAAATATTCGAAAAACATCAAATTTGGACCGATTTACCCTATTGTTCCTATGGGAGCTATAGGATATAGACGTCCGATCGTCACGCGCTTTACCCTGATCAAGGTACGCATAAAAAATAAGATTTGGAAAGATTTATGTCAATAGCTTTTACACTGCGCGAAATATCCTAAAAATCATTAAATGTTAACCGATTTTACCCTATTGTTCCTATGGGAGCTATAGGATATAGACGTCCGATCGTCACGCGCTTTACCCTGATCAAGGTATGCATAAAAAATACGATTTGTAAAGATTAATGTCAATAGCTTTACACTGCGCGAAATATCATAAATTCTTGCAAATATATCCAATTGTTCCTATGGAAGCTATAGGATATAGACGTCCGATCGGGGCGATTTTCAAACTTGATCTGCGTACACATGTTTTAGGACGATTGTGAAAGTTTCAGATCGCTAGCTTTTAAACTGAGCTCGCAAACGGTATTGAAACAGACGGACAGACGGACAGACGGACAGACGGACATGCTATACGACCCCTATGATCCTGATCAAGAATATATAACTTTATGGGGTCGGAAACGTCTCCTTCACTGCGTTACAAACTTCACCAAAATTATAATACCCTCTGCAAGGGTATAAAAACGCGTTAATAAGAGGAAAACGTGGCGCAAAAAACTACACACAGACACCGAGATGCGGATACATAGAGGGAAAGAGCGATTTCCCCCAGCAGCTGGCTCGGCCAATCGCAGAATTTGTTTACGAATCGGGCGGCAAAAGCAACAGAAAGAAAACACTACTTGGGGAAAAAGAAAAATGCTCACCGTGCTCTCCCATTTTCCGCTCTCTCTCGCGCTCTCCCTCTCGCGGCACAGTTTTTATTTTTCTTTCGAAAGCCACGTGCTGGGAATCGCTCTCTTAAGCGCTGCGCTCTCTTTGCTTCGTTGAGTTTTTCACGACGCGGGCGGCGGGGGCGGTGGAAAAGCCAGGGGGTGGCGGGAAAA